CTGTGGAAGAGCTACTGTTGGCTACTCAGGGACCACTTTGGCCAGTGTGCTGTGGAAGAGCTAAGTTGCGCTACTCAGGGACCACTTTGGCCAGTGTGCTGTGGAAGAGCTAAATTGCGCTACTCAGGGACCACTTTGGCCAGTGTGCTATGGAAGATCTAAGTTGGGCTACTCAGGGACCACTTTGGTGAGTGTGCTGTGGAAGAGCTAAGTTGGGCTACTCAGGGACCACTTTGGCCAGTGCGCTGTGGAAAAGCTAAGTTGCGCTAGTCAGGGACCTCTTTGGCCAGTGTGCTGTGGAAGAGCTAAGTTGCGCTGCTTAGGGACCACTTTGGCCAGTGTGCTGTGGAAGATCTAAGTTGGGCTATTCAGGGACCACTTTGGCCAGTATGCTGTGGAAGAGCTAAGTTGCGCTATTCAGGGACCACTTTGGCCAGTGTGCTGTGGAAAAGCTAAGTTGCGCTAGTCAGGGACCTCTTTGGCCAGTGTGCTATGGAAGATCTAAGTTGGGCTACTCAGCGACCACTTTGGTGAGTGTGCTATGGAAGAGCTAAGTTGCGCTACTCAGGGATCACTTTGGCCAGTGTGCTGTGGAAGAGCTAAGTTGCGCTACTCAGGGACCACTTTGGCCAGTGTGTTGTGGAACAGCTAAGTTGGGCTACCGGGCGTGCTGAAGTCCAAAGTTCTAAAAATCTAACAACCCCACAGTCCTACGGGTGGGGAATAATACATTGAAAAAGGAGTGGTAAAGTCATTTGTATTTAATTACAGCAGAATGCCGTAATAAACACGAAGCCGATGCTGCAAGCTATGTGAAGCGTGCTTCCCCACCCTGCAAAGCCCACTGGTCCTGGTCTACTCCGTCCCTAGCTTCCGGACACTAGTCAGGGACGTCACCTGGTGGTTGGCACGCGCCACGTGCCATCAGATCAAACGGTTAGATGAATCAAACCCCTCAAAAACCAGGGCCCCGTGGTTTGGGGTGGTTCACACAAAAGGGTCACATGCTACGCAAGGGTCACATGGTGGGCGAAAAACTGATCAAAACTAGAGGCATGCCACTGGCAGTAGAGCAATACTATTAGACTATAGGCCCGAAATGGATCATCCTTGCCAAACATTGCCAAACCGGTGGCTATTGAGTTCGCATGATGGACATGTGGTGCCTTGGCGGTCAGGACCCATCCGTAGTACATATATTATATATTAACATGAGCCAGGTTGGTACATGTTGGTACCACATAACTGGATCCGCGCTGTCAACGTATTGCGTGCTTTGGGATGCTTTGGGCAACTCTGGCGATCTGCATCCACATGGCCGGCACACCCCATGGCCAGGGCGCCCTGCTATGAAATGCATTATAATCCAAATGAGGGGTATTCTAAGGTATTCTATGAATCAAGAGTCCACATTACAGACAGGATTGCCATGCGTTCCTCCAACACGCTCCTGCTCGCAAGTCGCAAGTCAGAATTGCCATGTCGAGGCGAGGATCGGTCATGTCGAGTCCCTCCACTCCGTGAATCAAATCATGGATCTGGAAAACAAACCTGTTTGGTATTCGGAAAATGGATGAATATGGTCATCCAAGGGGCCGCCATGCCATCCACGGACACGATCATTTCAGAGAAGGAGCACACGTTCCAACATGAACAATTCATCGATGCTGGGAATGGTGTCTTTTTGACATGTGCAACATCAATCCAGGCTTGACCTGCGCAATTTCTGAAACTTGGATCAGTTCAAGGTCCAAACGGCCTTTCACATGACGCTACCCGGTCTAGCCTGCGTGGAAAGCGGTCAGAACTCCAACCCAGAAACAATAAAAATGTTGTCAGCTACAGCCAAAAACAATTTTGAAAAAAACATGAGAAAACATGCTGAACAGTCAGCCACCCCCAACGCACCAAAACGCGGAAAACGCGAAAAGAAAAAGGATTGGTGCCTGCGTGCAGCGCGCGGCAACGGCTTGATGTAGCTCATCCAAACGGAGCTCGTCGATGTGTCGCAAGTCCTCGATTCGATTGGGTGCTCGAACTCTTCGGGGTGGTTCACACAAAAGGGTCACATGCCACGCAAGGGTCACATGGTGGGCGAAAAACTGATCAAAACAAGAGGCATGCCACTGGCAGCAGTGTAGAGCAATACTGCCCGAAATGGATCATCCTTGCCAAACATTGCCAAGCCGGTGGCTATTGAGTTCGCATGATGGACATGTGGTGCCTTGGCGGTCAGGACCCATCCGTAGTATAATCCGCCGACCCCACTCGTGGGATGAGGCGTGACTGTTGATAAGGCTAAGGCTATGATTAAGGCTAAGGCTACAATTAAGGCTATGATTAAGGCTAAGGCTATGATTAAGGCTATACCTCCCCTACCCCTCCGGAGCTTTGCTGCAGTGACGAAAAGTAGCCAAGATTTGTCCAAGATTTCTCCAAATGTATTGGTTTGGGGATTGGAGCGCGGTTCTGGGTTCGAATCCCGGGCCGGTAGCGGCACCCTCTCCACCCGCGCGGGAAAATAAGCACGGTCCCTGGTCCCGGGCTCGAATTCCGGGCTGGTCGCGGCCTGGTCCCTGCCAGTGCCCTTGGTTTTTCCTAGATTATGTAACGTTTTCCGCTGGATTTCTAGGTTTTTCAAAGGTTTTTGTAAGATTTACTCATGCCTTTCATGCCTTTTGCAAAGTTTTTCCAGGATTTTCTCTGGTTTTTCTGGGTAGTTCTGTGGTTGTCTAGGGGCTTCGTGTTGTTTTTTGGGTTCCCAGATTTTCAAAGAAAAATGCTAACCCATTTGCCGTGCTCTCTTCTGCCTACTTTGGTGATGCAGTGACAGATCGCTCCACACGTGCAAGATTTTTCTGCTCTTCACTAGTGCTGTGCTCGCATTCTGCGCCGGGACAGCGGTCCTGTGCCTTGGGGTTCCGTATTGTTTTTTGGTTCCCAGATTTTCAAAGAAAAATGCTAACCCATTTGCTGTGCTCTCTTCTGGCTACTTTGGTGCTGCAGTGATAGATCATGTCTCTAGGGGTTCCGTGTTGTTTTTTGGGTTCCCCGATTTTTAAAAATCCTAACCCATTTGGCTGCCTGTGATCTGGCTACTTTGGTGATGGAGGCAAGAGTGCCGGTGGAAGCGACCTGGCAGGGACAGCAATCCTGTGTCTAGGGGCTCCGTGTCTTTTTTTGGGGTTCCAAATTTTGCAAGAAAAATGCCAACCCTTTTGCCTTGCTCTCTTCTGCCTACTTTGGTTGGCTACTTTGGTGATGGAGGCGAGATTATTTCATGTCTGAAAAGGTAACCCTTTTTGGAGCTCCACTACCTGCTCTTTATTTCGGGCTTCGCCTTCGAGCAATTAGCCCACTAGTTCTCCTCTCACTCAAAAACCTCAAATGATATGTGCACTAAAGCCGCGTCTCACACTAGCTGCCACTGGAAACCCTGCCGCTCTTGTCACATCTTCAATGCAGTGTATTGCTCTGTGTCGTCCTTCTGACTGCCTTACCTGCAGCCGAAAGTGCTGCCAGCAACTCACGACTCACATTCCGCCCACACCAAACCCACTCCCCACACCCCTGCGCTCACATCCCCTAGCTTCACGTCATACAACACTACACATCCCTTCCACGCCTCATCAAGTACAAGAAGCCCCCAACTTTCTCCGGCCTGCCGAAACACTCTGCGCAGGCGTCTTCTCCTAGCCTACAAGAAGCACACCGAACGGTTCTGTTTTCAATGCTCTCCAAGAAAACTGACCATATCTGCCGCACATTGGCAATGCCCTCTTTGGAACCCAGACGCAGCTCCCACGCAGCAAACATTTTGATCTCATCGTTCATCACCTCAAAGTTCACAATATTCACTAGCAGCTCCCCATAAATACAGTCAGCCAGCATCATCTTTTGCCACAGCTCGACAGGTTCGTCCCTTTTGCGACAATGCATGTCCGGCTCCCTCCCTTACCACCGTGGAACTGGCGACTTCCACACCCTCCCGCCCCCCCCACCGGCCTGCACCACCCAAAAAAAACCCCCCCCCCGCCCAACCCCCCCCCCCCCCAAACGGCTACGGTCTCTTCCCTTGCTTGCGTACAACCCTGGCAAACAGCTGGCCGAGCTTGGGAAGCGCTGCCGCACGTTTGCACGCTTGCTTCGAAAAACTGGGTAACCCATTCGCAGTGGTAAATCCTAGGACAAACACGCCGAATGGCGGGGAAGAGGGTTTACCATCGCATCGCAAAAGCACTGACAAACCTTAGCCATAAAACTGGAAGATTCGAGGAGCAACCGTAGAAAATCCCAGAAAAGCCCTCTAAAAGGGCATCAGTAAATCTTACAAAAGCCTTTCAAAATCCTACAAATCCAGCGGAAAACGTTACATAATCTAGGAAAAACCAAGGGCACTGGCACGGACCATCCCTGTCACATACACTTCCCTCGGGGTCGGCGGCTGCAGGCGATAGCCTGGTAAATATATATTAAATTATATTAAATATAAGCCAGGTTGGTACCACATAACTGGATCCGCGCTGTCAACGTATTGTGTGCTTTGGGATGCTTTGGGCAACTCTGGCGATCTACATCCAAAGCCAGTCACATGGCCCGCACACTAGGTGTCTGGTGTCCGTCTGCATCTTCCAAGGCCCAAGTGGCGTGTGATGTGTGTTTAGAGCCAAAAAACCTCAAACCGATGAACAAAAGACACATGAGCCAACCAAGTAAGCTGGTGTTGGACCAGTGAAGTCGTTGACCAGGTGGACCCGAGGATCGCCATGCAGCTCGGCTCGGTCTCTCCTGCATCCATCGAAGCTCTTGGGCCTTGGCATCCGCGATCCCCTTCGCCAAGTCCTAGACGTCTCGATCCACACGGCCGGGCCGGCGAAAACGGTGCACCCACCGTGAGTTAAGCGGCGAAATAGCTTTTCAGTCGAAAGATCGAAGAGGACCATATGTTCCGCAGTTGAAACGGCAGGTCCACCCGAAAAAAAAGCTCAAAGGAACACCGGCGGCCTGGAGAAAAAAAGGTGTCCTGCTCAGCATGTGGTGGGGGGGGCGTCTTTGAGTTCAACATCCAAATCGATACGCTGTGGGGGCTTAGATTGCACAGACCTAGGTGGCTACCAGTCGTGCAGAGATGAATCGAACTGCAAGACATGGGCCACTGTACTGTCGCGCCGTCAAGGAAAGGGGAATGTCCCGGCACACAGGTTGAGTGGTGTTAAACAAATTGTGCACCACTGCAAGGATCCGTCGAGTCATGCGAAGCAAACAACAAAGCCAGAGATGATGGCTACAGTAGGTCATGTTCAGAACCTGGTGGTTCCCAGGTGAGCCACAGGGTACCCATACCTCCGCGAAGCTTTCGCAGCATGGCAAGAGCTCCTAATATGTAACGCTGTGTTCCAGCAAAAAAGAAGCAACTCGGGTGGATTGTTCGGGTCTGCTCCCAAGCGTGATTTCTCAGAATGCCTACTGTCCACTGTAGGATTCAGCGAAAGTCAACCAGGCAGGAAACTGGATGAGCATTCGTTCTCCAACAGTATGTTTCAGCTGTGGGTCATGGCACCCGGAGCCTTTACACCCTGGTAGGTTGACCGACCACCAGTAGTCCATTCCATTCATGAACCCGTGGTCAACGAGGGTTCTTCGGTTTTGACCCACCACCAGTATGTTCCCTTTCGCTCAGATGCTCTCCTGCAGCTGCCTCTTCGCTGTTCGAAGGAGCACCAAACGAGCCTGGAGCCAAAACGCTGGCAGCCACGATGCACCGCGTTCAACGCAGGGCGGGTGATGGAGCCAAATCGGAGGCCTCCTTTTCCTGGGAACAGCACAATTCTGAGGTGACCATGCGATCACTTCTTTTCGGAAGTGCTAAGAACTCCTCCTGAGTACAGGTGTCCCCTCGTCTGGAAATGCACTTTTAGTATCTTTTATGTAATATGGGTCCTCACTCAATGATTCTTAAGTGTTCATCTCCTTTCCTGTACCGGGATACTGAATAGACCCTTTGTTGTTTCTCGCTTTTGAAGGGTTTGCAGGTCAAAATCAGAAAGCAACACGTGGTCTTGACATGACACGGGCCTGGCGCATTTGAACCATGCTCTTGTCCAGTTCCTGCCGATCGGCACCATGGAGAACATGCAATTGAAACTGCCAGCCCACCTCTTTCCGCTGTTTGAAGCACTAAAACCTGCCAGAACGAGAACATGAGAAAACAGCCAACGTGAGAAGGTCCTGGAGTAAATGGCCGAGACCGCGGCGGAGCCAGCACAAAGCCGCATCCTGAGTGAAAGCCGCGGTTGCATTCGTGTTGATTCTCTTAAACAGGTGATGAAAGCACAAGCATCTTGGAAAGAGTTTGTTGCGTTGGCAGTGTCCGGATCTGGTGAGCTGTCAGGTTTGTTAAATCATGTTAAATCGCAAGACGCTATCGATGGTCTATTGATGAAAGACCTGCTGCTCAAAAGGCCTAGTGGGAAACCTGGTGGGGGACTACTGATGGTAGCCAATCGACTTTGTGGTTGGACAACCTCACAAAAATCGCCTGGAAGCAGGCTCTTGTAATTTGTGTGGTTGCGAGTTAAAGTATTGAATCTTGAGAAGCTGAAAGTCTCCATGGCGCTCCCTTGAATTGGTGGGAACTGAGTTGTTGTTTCTGGTTCTGGACTGCACCCTAACCTGCATTGCACTCACACTATGACCCTCGGGCCGTAAATACCTTTGCCAGATATTATGCCGGGATTGCCGGAACCAATCGTCAGGTGGCACGTATGAAACCCTGCCGCTGTGCTTTGTTGGTCAAAAAACAACTCCCTCACAAGTTCCAAACCTACAGGTCTAACCTGCTCCTGCTCCTCATCGCCCGACTGGGCCCGACCTACCGTCCACCTCGATGATTTCTTCGTTCAAGGCACGCCCCCCGCCGAGGCCAAGCGCTGGTAGGGGCGCAAGGCCTCAAAGAACCGTCGACAGGACGTTTTTTCAGAGAACAGGAAGTGGGACTCGGAAATTCATGAAGAACCCTTCTACATGTTCCTGTACATGTAGCTGTACATGTAGCTTCTTCATGGTCTACAAGAAAGTTGGCGCTATGCAAGGCCACGCTCCTGAATCATTTTGGTGACGAAGAAACACATTGTTCTTTAAAGTTAGTGATGCGGGAGAAGGTGGCTTCACCTATTGGCATTGTCAGCATTTCTTAGGGGGCCTGAGGGTATGGCAGAATTTGGTGAGCGGAAGCTCAATGTCGCTAGTGTGCGAAGCTCAACAACATGTTCCTTTCACCAGTGGTGATCTCTAACTCTGACATGCCACAGCAGAGCCGACGTTGTCTACAAACCCCTGTACAAAAAGGGAGTGAGCCCAAGAATATATTTCAGAACCTTAGTTTCTGAACACTAGTTTCTGGTAGTTTCTGAATTGATGGTGGTAGTGTCTGAACGCATGGCAGTGGCGTTAGTTTCTGAAACCGGCCGAGCAATCAACTGGGCCGGCGACCGCCAAGAAAAAGCCTGGGTGCCCAGGCTTACGCTCGAATCAGGACTGCTGAAACGCTCCGGAGGGGCAGGCTCATGATGTTGGCAAACTTCATTCGTCAAGAGATGCAAAGACTCTGCGCATGACTCTGCGCATGAACAAGAATGAAAACACAGCTGCTATACATCTGCTCGCACCACAGGCCTAGATTTGCAACAGAATTCAGTCTTTTTCTTCTGCCCTCTGAGGCACAGGCAGAACTTGTCCAGGAACCCGCACAGGTCCAAGTGGGCCTGTCTTGCCTGAAACTTGGTGGCCCAAAAACCCTGAAAGCTGCATCGTCTCTTGTCCTTCTTCGACACAAACAAAACAGGACATGTTTATGAATCGATCTACCCACAGAAATCAATGACTTCGGCCGACTTGTCCACACGTCTCCACACGTCTTCGACCGTGAGGCAAAGACCCGGGTGACCGTCCCGACCCAGGAGGTTCCCGGTCAGATGGTCGGTGGAGCTGGTACTTCGTTTTCGCTGCTTGGGCTGCTGGGTAACGAGTAAAAGTCGTACACCAAGAGAACGTGGCAAAAAGTTCGGAAAGACTGCATTTTAGGCCCCATGCTTCTGTTTCTCTGTGGGAGTGGTTCATGGTTTGTTGTCCATGGTTGGCCCCGAAGAAGATCAATTGGGTTTGGTCAGCAGCAGGCCTGACCTTAATGTCATAAAAATCTATTTAAAGCCTCAGTATACCCATATTTGATGCCCCTGAAGATGCTAATTCCATCTAATTCCCATTTGACATCACACAGTACATCACATTTCTCACCCACCAAAACTACGAAGCGCTCCCCCAAACCGCCCTCACCCTCCTTCACTCCATTTCCACCTCGCTGGCTCGGGCGTCTTCAAAGGGCTCCAGCAGGCCGCTGTCTGCAGATCGGTCCGATGGTTTGGGTGATTGATCTGGATGGACCAAGCTGTTGATATTGATATTCGGGGGATCAAGGTCGAAAAACCACTCGTAGGGAGGCCATCGCTAGGAGGGAACCCATCGCTAGTAGCTTGGAGGCCGTCATCCAAGGTCTTTCACTTTCACTACAGTGATCCATCCATGTGTCAACTGTTGAACACCCCGGTCGGATGGCTCCTTCGACCGCCCAAACCGAGCCCAACCGCGGCGTCCGACGTCGGAACCGAACCAAAACCTGGATGCGAAGAAGCGGCGCCGGGGGTTCGACCAAGCCAGAACCAAGCTGGAAGTGATTTTGAGGCACCCAACAGGTGAAGAAACAATTGGGAAAATCATGGAAAGGCCATCTTCTTTAGCTGTTGAGACCCTCAAAACCATCTCAAAACAGTCGTCAACAACCAATTCTGGCATGAACAGGAAATTCCACTGGACATGTTTGAGTCATGTCTGAGCTTTCCCCAAAAATTCCATCCAAAGAATTTGGGGGCAGGTGAGGGCACACCCTCCAACAACCCGTTCAAACTGCTATAGTCCTTTGATGTGCTTTGTTTTGGTGCCCTTTTTGCAACCAAAAGTCGCACGTGTCACCCCCATCTCTGATGGGCCCATTCTCCACCTTTGGGCGCTGATGCTTGCCATGAGCTTCGGAGCTCCTGGGAGTCACGGGAGGAGTCAGGTAAGCGGTAAGAGTCACTCCGTCAGACGGGCCTGGTGTGTCTTTTTGTTAGCTCCGTGGTGTCCATGACCCACCCTAGCTCCGAGGGCCCTGGTTCCATCGTCTTCCGTCCGGTTTTCATTGCGATCCTCGCAGTGTCGACTTGCCCCGGGAAGATCCGGGCCCTTCTCACGAGGCTAAACGTGTCTTCGGATCTGAACGTTGTTGATCCAAAGACGTTGAGCTGGATGTGAGTCACAGGTGTTTTCCGAATTGATGTTGTCGTGTTTTAGCAATGGTCTGGCTGCAAGCAGCCTTTGCAAAAAAAATGGGCTGTCAAGAAGCTCACGGTCAGTAATCTCCAACTATTTCAACCCTGCAATTCGTGTTTATAAAACATTGAACCCATTGTCATAGCATGCGATCGAATGTCATCACATGTCATGGCACGTCATGGCGCCATCAGAACCTTTTTTCAGGGACCATCATGTTCACCCCGGACCCTGAAAACCCAACCCCAACTCCTCCAACATCTCCGGGAACTTGGGGCACGACACGTCCGCATCCGCCAGGCCTGCACCTACCACATTGGAAACTCTGGGCATCGGTGTTGAACGTCGACCGAGGTCGTGAAAGAGGAGTGTGTTTTTGTTTTCACATCATCACAAATTAAGCGGACCGAACACATTGATGTTTTGTTTGGTGCAAACGCGACTTTCTGAACACCAAACTTGCAAAGTGGGTCAACACCTACCTGCCAAAACGAGGTGTTGAGAGTAAAGTTCTCGATCCCTAGCCTGCCAGCGTCAGGAATTCCAGGGTTGACAGAGAGATATTGAAAGTGTTCCCCCGCACTGGAACCCAAGCGTGATGGTTATTGTGTGGATGGAGCCTGGCCTTACTAGATTGGTTCAACCAGGAGTTCTCAAGAACCTCAGTAGTCTGTTCGCACAAGGTGACCAATCCACTTCTGACAAGATTGTTCCCAAACACTAAACCATTGCTTTTTAGCACACTTAAATAGGATGACCGGGAAACTTCATGAAGTTCCAACCTCCAACAAAAGCTTCCCTTCGAGAGAAAAATGAGCCTGCGTATCATTTCTGCTAAAATGGTATGATTGAGCGCGGGTATGATAATAAACAATCCTTCGGTGTCTATAGATGTCTCCTTAGAAGTATACCACCAAGACAATTAGTTTAACTCCCAAATGGTGATGCGTTTAAGGCTTTGCCTTCCGACTTTCGATTGGTCTTTAGCATTGCTTCGCTGTCCAATCCTCTGATGTCTATCTCGTCCGCCTCCAGGTGCCTCACCATCTGGGAGTTCGGCCTCTCCGAAGTGCAAGAGACAGAGAGAACCTCCCAAAAATTCCACCGCCAAGTGCCTCCAGTGCATCTTTGCCTCTCCTTTGTCCACCTATTCTTGCTTAGCGGGGAAATCAATCCGCAAAAAAGGCGCAAGGTTTCAGTTTCCCAAATACATAGATAGCAAGTGATAGCAATAATACAAATGTAATATACCAGCACCACCCGATTTAGATTGAAAATGCTTCTTGAGGGGGGTTTATCAACCACCCTTTGGGTGGTGCCGGTACTATGTATTTACATAATATAAAAACAATAAGTTTGGTTTTGAACACTCATGCATCAGCTTACTCCAGCGCGGCTTCTTCTTTTCTTTGTGTGCTGAGAGTGCTTTGGCAAAAGTAGCTCTGCTACTACTGTCCTCACCGCTTGTTGCCCGCAGGGCACATCCCCTCGCTCGTTCTCCGTCCGATCAGGGTAATTAATCGAGAGGATACCGAAAGTCGGTCCTACGACTACTCGGAGAGGGGTTCCATACAGGAATCAAAGGCAAAACTGAACTACAATACAGACTTTTCAGGGCTGTCGACATCAGCCAACATGCGCAAGATTTGGGCCAGCCCGAGCAGCCGCAAAGGAAGTGAGAGAAAGGCCCTCGCCATACTTCCAGTCCAAGTGCTGCTGCAAAATGAAAACTCGAGCCGACAGCCGCAAAAACAGAGTCAATGCAGACTCGACCCACACCGGGAGAAACAATGGACCCAACAGCAACTGTGAAGTTGTGACCGCTCGACCGGAGCAAACAAGGTCTGGGAGGGAAGAAAGTTGGACTGCCGCAGTGTCTCTGCTGTCCAGGCTGAGACCCAGCCAGCAGTCTTTTGGCTTGAGCCGACAAGTTACGAAAGGAGCGCAGCTGCACTGATTCAAATCAATATATAATTCTTCATCACCGACCCTGCCGACCTTGAAGAAGCTGTCCATGTTTTCAATTGTTGATTCATATTTTTTGACTTAGGGGCCTCATGTCATGACCCTTCAATGAAGACGTCACAACGGTCATGACCTTGGAGAAGCTTATAAGATCGAAATGATGTAGGAAGACTCTTTCTTTCACAGTCCGCTTCTCGATGGACATCACCCAAAAACTAGCTTGCCAGAAAGACAACCGCACAGACAAAGCATCGAAAGCTGGTGTTCCAACGTTTTGCAGGAAAACCTGGGAGTTGTAAGTGAACTTTACACTCCAGAAGGAACTCACATTATAGATCATTATATAAGGATAATTATGATATATTTCTTGAGTGCCTTGACACTTGACTAGAGAATAAAGTGCGGTTCCTCAACAACACATTCTTGTCGTAGAAGCACTTTACACATCGCCGTCTGATTTTGAAACTGCAAGGGGATGTGTTCAGGTTTTTCCAAATGTTGGACTTCTTGCCACCCTTATTCAATACCATATATACCCTGCCAAGTGTATCCAGGCAGGAGTATCTCCCCTGACTCGCCTTGCACAAATGATTTCTGTCACTTGACAGCCTAACACCAGTCAAGTCACCCAAGCTTGGAGCTTAGAAGGACCCACAAAGACTCACAAAGTGGAATGATCTGTTCGGTCAAAGGTCTTATTGTATAAGTGGTTCGTTGCCAAACACCACATAATCGCAGATTCTCTCTAGGATCCAGCTTTGCAGCTGGCGCTTGGTGCCCTGAAGATCCTTGGTGGAGGTTGTGCCATTGTCCCTCCAAGCTTGAGATTCACAGGACTTCCCTCCTTACCTGCGAGGAGTTCTCGCCAAAATCGTGAAGAAACATTCAGATCCGATTGTGTTTGTCTAAAATGTTTCGTGCCCCGGGCGTGCGCAAGTACCAAACACCCCGGCAAACTCGTACCATCTGCCCAAAGGTCGCTGGGTGGAGTTGGTCGCCCAAGCCGAAGCGATGGATGATCAGCGCAGAAGTGTCGTTAGTGCCCTACGAGTCGTTCTCCAAGTGACTGGGAGTCATTGAATGCAACCAAACAGCAAAACGTAAACACCCCCCGTTTTTCGGGTTCAACCTCATAGATGTAAACAAAAAAAGGATCTTCATTGTCATAAATAGATGGAACGTTCTTTTTTAGACGCATATCAAGTGATTCTCGGTGTATCAAGTGATTCACTTTCTGATCCTTCACCCTTCACTGACCAACTCACAGCGAACCAACGCCTCGTTGCTCGGATCGAAGTGGGCCTCTGAGCGCTCGGAGTGGGTGAGAAGACCAGCGGCTGGTGGTGGTTCAGCCACGCCGCTGCCGTCCCCTAAAAGCCGTAGGAACCCATGGTTTCTCGGCTTCTCTATCGATATCTACAGTAAGTGCCATATTTGTGCCCAGAAAAAGAGAGGTGACAAAAGAACTGGGACGTCGCCGGACACTTGTGGGACTGACTGTTCGTGCCAAAACAGGACGAATCTGGTCACAAATATGTTTATGCCCTGCAGACTGCCCTGCAGCTATCTTGACTGTGGAAGAATCATTTGCACTACTGCAGGGGCGACAATCCAAACTACCTCAGAAATCTGGATTCGAGAATGCAAACGCGATGATGTGGCAAGTATGGGTAATACCACACCCTTTGGAACTAGAGGCTAGAGCCGTGGTGTTTAATCATTCAAAGATATTCAAAGTGTGGGGTGCACCTCTAAATAAACATGTTACGTATGCTGCTTTAGTACAGACGGGGTGTCAAAGCCCAAACAGAAAGGATTATATTTTATGTAGCGCGATGTATGTTATATAAGATTATAATGGATGGCCATATTGAAGCTGTAGATCTGAAGATGCTTCTCTCCGGCCATCCTTGATTCATCCTTGACGTTTCCGGCCATCCGCTCTCGCCATCCTTCGTTCTGGCTCGGTCCTGCCGTAGTAGAGCTGCAAGCAAACGATGGCACTGGCTCTTCCTGAGTTGCCGGGCGAGGGACACCAAGCACGGCATGCTGTGTCTGACCAAGCTTGCGAAATACCCGGAGCTGGGAAACAGAGGTCGAGGTGGTCCTGTTCAGGTGGGGGTGCGATGAAATTGACTTAAACCTTGCTGGAAGGTGTCTGGTCCTATAGACATGTAGTATCTAATTCCTCTGATGGCAAGTAATAGAATTCCACGAAACCTCCAGCTGAGTTGCTGTGCACACATCTCACTTAGTTACAGTGGTTTCAGAGTAGACGGCAAAATCACTAAAGGATCGGTGGTTTATATGGACTCCCATGTAAAAGGCGTCTTTGGGTGCCAATGCCATCTACTCTGAAACCACATGAAACCAGCCGCATTGGACATCAACTCTTGAGGTGCCATCGATCGGAGCTTCCGCCATCGACCGCCATCGACCGGCGTCGATCATTTTCATTCCCGCGTCGGGTCCCGCTGGGTTGAAAAGACCAATAAACCGCGCCTCGCAGCACGGATTCCTGAATCCGTGCTCTCCTCGCTCTTCTCACCCAACCCACCCCAAGTCTCTGACGTCCCGTCCCGCCAACGTCGAGGCACTGGGTCCTTCGAACGCCCGGGCGGGTCCGGCCACGACGGATCTGAGACTCGGACTGAGACGGATCTGAGGTCTTTGGTGAACTCCCGTCGGTCGCTCCTTCCTGGTCGACGTTTCGGGGACAGTTCACCGACCAAAAAACACGGCCAGGGAAGAAGAACTGGTGGCACTCGAAGTGTTGCGGAGTTGGTGGCGATTTCGCGAGTCAAAAACAAAGCTTGGTCCATCCGGTACGGATGGTTTTGATGGGTTTTTGAGTGGTTTGGGGATCTGCTTGGCAGAGTTGAAAAAACAACCCCAAAACAGCCATCGTCCACCCCAACGGCGGTGGCGTGAGTTTCCCCCAGCATGGGCTTTCCCCATGGCGGTAGGGCCGCGCATCGGCGACGAAGCACGTGCCACGCCAGGAAACAGGTAGCGTCCGACCGCTCACGTGAAAAAAAACGCGCACGTTCTTCTGCAGCGCCCGGTTTGATGGCCCTTACTATGGCCCTTGCATGTATGAACATCATGTCATCGTCTGGCAGGTTTGAAGTTGCAACCACTCCTTGCTCCGTGTCTGCTCCCAACTGGCCGCTGCCATCTCTTGATAGCTTGGTGGCTGAGCAGGCCCAGCCGCCTGCACGAGAGGCATGATGGGTCTTTGTCTGGGTGAAGTCTCTGAAAATCACCATCTCCAAGATCAGTAGCAAGTACGTCTAGCTACTTGTAGCTTCTTGTTACCAAGTAGAAATGGCCTCCACCCTAGTAGCGATGGCCTCCAACCTAGTAGCTTCTTGTTCCTAATTTAGATATGGAAGGGATAGCATCGTCCAAAGCAACTTGGGAGTCCCTCAATGCTATTTTCCTCATAGCCATGGGGGGTTCGCATCATCCTATTGTGACGTGCTTGCCTGCTAATGTGCAGAAATCTTCCTTACAACAGCACAGCACACGTTTGGCTTGGAATTGTTGCCAGTGAAACATCAAGTTGAAGCCTGACCCCAAACATCATGAAGTGATTCAGAAAACACACTCCATGTCCATCTATGTCGAGGTCTTTCCAGGGCTGACCCCCAACTTGGCATGGTGAAACATGTGGAAAGCACACAACAGGCCAAATCGCAGCCACGGTGCGGCCCAAATGTCCAATTTGGGGTGCATGGGGCTGCCGGGCCAATCCCCACCATCGTAAGATTTACATACCTGGACCTTCAAGGGGTGTCCTGTCTGGAGGTCCCTTAGTAGTGGGCTGGGGCTTCCAGCCGGGTGACCCCTTTCAAGGTGCTGGTAGTTTCAAAATTTGGAACTTATAAGCCGGTTGCAAGGCATCCCGTGCTCGTTCGTGAAAGCTCAATTCGTTCGGTTCAATCAGGTAGAAGTAGAGCAACTATACAAGTCTTGACATGTCCTACTCTTTCTAGATCAAACTCTATCCGTTTCTCCACTGTTTCAGCCTGACTTGGAGTGAAGCCGAGCCACCAAGCCGCGACGCTCGGTCCGGTCTACAGGATCTACTCGGTGCTGGGACCATTGGATCCCGATCCATCGGCCAAACCGTTGCGCTGACGTTCGGCTCTACCGCGTGGCCCAGGAGGTCGACGAGGTGCCGAGGGGGTCCAGGACCCGGTCCGGGATTGGCAGCACAGGTGCTGCCAAGGCAGGCCATGATGTCCTTGATGAGAAAACGCGCATCTGTGCCAAACACATAGCCCAAAAGGATCCACCATCGCAGGGGCTTCCGTGTCCGTGTTCCGTGGTTTTTTCGGCGTTCCGGCCGCGCCGATCCGCGCTGTGGGGGAGCCTCTGGAGCTGCGAGGGCATAGAGTAAAACCCACCTCAGATCGGAGTGGCAGTTTACATCCCGCCGACGACTGTTGAGGGACCCTAGTGTAAACCCGGAACACTGGGATCTAGAATGATCTCTCAGTAGGGGTATCGTTTGAATTGGCTGTGGGTCATGGGACAAGGAGACGGTGTCAGTCATGACCTCCCCGTCATCGCCGGCTGGGCCGTTACAGAGTTAGGTCAAGTGAAGAGCAGCAGAGCTGCAGGGTAAGCCGTTGCATTCCAATTGATCTTCTCGGGTTCTTCTCTGTTCGTCCAATTGGACGAACTCTTTGGCTGCAAGTTCTGCTCTTCATCGGTCCCGATCCATGTTCGAATCTGGTCCGATACAAACCAACCCACCCCGTTGCGTGGCAAAATGGAAGAGTGATTGAAATGTTGAATATGTTCAATATGTTCCAGTCGTACAAGAATATATGCAACTTCTCAGAAGTGTAACAATCCTCATTCTGCCAGAACGGGATCACACAGCATGGTCCTTCTCTGCTCGGTGAAAATCCTGGTCCGCTCGGTGATATCCTTCTCTCTCGGTGAATATCTTGAGGCTAGTCAATGAATCCGAACTCGGTGAAATACAAAAAAAACTCTCGAGTTTGCATGAAGACTACGACGACCTGAACAAGCTCTATTCTACGTTTACTGTCCCAACTCAATTGATAGGCCCCAGCTCTGGTCCTCTAAGAGTGTGCTAATTAATGTATAGACTCTTGTTTCATAAACCCCCCATGTCCATGGATTCAACAGCTTCTTCATCTCATGTGGGGGGGAAGTTATATTCATCAAGCGTCTGCATTACTCCTTCAAGTTGCGCAAGTTGGATTCCGGATGTACCCTGAGTCTTTGGAAAAGTGGACCATCCGGGCATGAGCTTCGACGCCCGGGCCGCACAAGTTGTGCATGACCCAGCACACTCTGTTGGTCGATCCAAACAGAGGTTTAAACAGTCATGTTCCACGTATATAACCAAATTTGTTGGAGAGAGGGTATAGATTCATCGTTTATCTTTGTAGATTACCCACAGTGGCGCGGCACACTCTCGAAACACATCGTTTCACCTGCGGGATAGAGCCCCTCGGGCCTGAGTGAGTGACGGAGATCAAACCTATACAAACGACGAGCAAGCGGTGATTGTCACTGAACCTTGGTTTGGTCAACATGCTCAACTTCCACAGCTCCTAGAAAATTTCTCTTGGCCAAAAACAGGTTCAGCTGACCGCTTTGCAAAAGCTCGTAGAGGGGAGAGCTATTTCCTTCCCTCTTGGTAAGGCAATCCACTACCATCTTAGGATGTGGAATCCAACGAACCTCGGAGCCCGTTTCTGCCAGTGTTTGGCGAATCACTTGCATCTCCAGCGCGGTGCGCTTGTCACTGGTCGCGCCGATGCCCTCCTTGGACAAGTGGTCGTAGAGGGATTTGGCGTCAACAATGCCGACGTTCTTGATCCCCCTTTTCAACTCTTCTGTGCTTTCCTGGCTTACCAGTGCTTGGAGGCTGCGGTCTTTCAAGTGTTTCTCCCATTCCTTCATGTTGAAGTCGGGTCGAGAGAATTCGTTGTAGACGGTGACCGTCCATGAGAGCTCTGACATGCCACGGCTGAGTGCCTGGGTTTCAGCAGCAAGAGTGGAATTAACCACTCGATGGATTTTGCCGCTTCTCCAGTGAAGCAAGTTGCATTTACCTTTGCCTTCTGTCAGGGTCTTCTTGTCCAGGGCCACTACCGCAAAAGCTCCTTGGGATCTTCCCTTTGAGGCGTTGGCGTAACTGGCGTCAGTGAAGACTCCCCATGCAATGTCCTCCGGAGCTATGGGTTGAATCCTGATGCACAGACTGGCTTCCTTTCTCACATTGCGGATGGCCTTGTTCAGATCGAGGATGTCTTGGATCTTCAGGTCATTCAAACAGGAGGCCACGAGGCTAGCCATTGCAGCAGCATCTGGTCGTCCTTCCTTTGCAGCCCAAGTGAGGCTGCCTACTGCAGCTCTGGTGCGGTCTTTCTCTTCGGAGTCTGCCTTGGATTTGGGCTGACTTGCTCTTCCGGAGTCCAGCTTGACTTCCTCTAACTTCTCCTTCACAAACTTCTCCATGTCCACTTGAATCTCCCCATTGGGAAGTTGTTTCAATCTTCTTCCATTGAAGGCGGCTCCACTGACCTGTTCTTGGAGGAAGACGAACTTTCCGAACTGAAATCTTCCTCGGAGCACTTCCATGACTTCAAAGAACTCCTCATTGCCCATGCCAAACAGATCACCAACCTCGACTACTAGGAGCCCGGCCAGCTGGTTGCCTTTGAAGAGCTTGTACACGCAAGGGTCGAGCCCGGATTGTACAAATCCCAATTGGAAAAGCACTTTCTTCAATGATCTTCTCCAGTGTGCTGGCGCATCGCCAAGCCCGTAAACTCCAGCAATGACTTCAATGAGCTGGTGAGGAGAGAGTCCTGGAAGGCCTCCTTTGGGCTGTCTACAGTACAGCCTGCCTGCTGTACGTTCCAGCTTGTCTGACTGCATGAAGGCATTTCGAAGGTCTCCCACTGCAGCTTTCCAACCTTGACTGGTTCCAATCTGGAGCACTACTGACAGTGTAGATGTGGTAATGGTGGGAGCATGTCGTAGTAGGTCCAGGATGTCGGGATCTTGGTCTCCTCGGATGCACCATCGGCTCTTCCTAGTTGGTGGTTCACCTGGCTGTTCGGACTTTTTCCATCTTCTTACAATTCGAGAGGGCAGGATGCGAGCGCTGAGTCCGGCTTCTGCCAGTTGATGTTCCACTGAGTGGGATTCTTCTTCTGACAGGACTTTCACTGCTCCTGTGGAATGAACCTTGCTCCATTCCGCCCCGTCGGACACCCTCCACTGTTCCCATTCTTCTTCGGGAATATCCTCCTCTCGGACCTCATCCGATCCCCTTTTCACCATCATCGTTACTTCATGGGGGATCTTCCGGAGCTTGAATTCGGTGTAGCCAGTCCACCATTGCGTGATCTCCTTCTTGGGCTTGGTCCCCTCATTCCTCCAGTGGGACTTCTCTATTTTCATCACTCCATCCGGCAGAATCTTCACTGTGTTCCGTTGAGAGGTCAGGAACTTCAGAGGCACTGGACATCCTCTTGTGTTGCTGGGAACAAACTCGGTGCCTCTCTCATTCAAGTGCTTTCGAATGATGCTTTGTCGAACTGGGTCGAACACCCAGAGGTCCTCAGTTCGGTCTTCTCCTTCATGATCGTCTTCAGCGTCATCATCACCTCGAACTGCCACTCCTCCACGGTATGGTGCCCATCGAGACGCCAGATTGGGTCCATATAGCTGAGAGGCTGTTCTTCCATGAAGAGTGCCGTCTAAAGCCTCGCATCTTGCATGCGAGTTCACTGCTTGGCTGATGACCTCACTCGGCACTGGTTGACTTCCCGGTGCTTCTTCTTCTGGCTCTGCCGAGGCTGTCGAGGGAGGTGACGTTGGTTCATATTCTTCTTCTTCTTCAACTGTCTCCTGAGCTGGAGAGTCGATCCTTCTCCTTTGCCAGGGAGGCTCATCATCTTCTATGGGAGGCAATTCCCAGTGAGTCACATCCTTGAAGCCTCTTTTGCTTTCTTTCCGCGACAGGCCCCTCTTGAGTTCTTCAAACTCATCTTCTAGGAGGTCCTTGGCTTGCAACTCTTCTTCTGTGGCCTTTCGAAGCTGTTCCTTGGCACATTTCCACAGCTCGCCACGAATTGACAGCCAGGCATTTCCTCCTTCAGTCATCACGATGGTTCCTGGTCCAACCCAGGTGGGCCTTCTTCCTTCCTTGTCTTCGAAGCTGTCATCATGCTTGGCTCGCTTTCTTTGCAGAGGAACTCGGTAGACATATACTATGTCCCCTGGTGAGAAGCTCTGCACTGTCCTGCTTCGGGCATGGGATGCTCGGTGTATTGCAGTGCTGGTGGTGTGCTTGATGAATGCTTCCATGGCTAACTGCCGTGTATGTAGCAGTCGCTGCATGTCTCCTCCTGCGGCTCCTAGCACCAGCGTTGGATCGTACACGTCATCAGATCCCAGGCTTGCAGGAAGTCGAATGTTCTGCCCCAGTTGCCTTTGAGCCGGACTGTATCCGCTGCGATTGAACAGCCGGTTCTTTGCCGCTTCCAGCGCATGGATGCAGTTCTTCCACTCTGCATCGTTGGAGGGCATGGCATCTTCCCTCAGCTTGGTGAATATCTCCTTTGCCAGTCCTCCGTGTCTTTCCGTTCTTCCTTGTTGCCATGGAGCTCGAGCCCCGATCACCTTCAAGACAGCTCCTGCTTCTCCGAGCTTTTCTGCGAAATCCTTTCCGAATTCTCTTCCCTGATCCACCACTACGCACTCTGGAACTCCGAAGATTCTGACCCACGTAGACATGAAGGTCTGCCAGAGGTGGTCTGATTGCATGTTCTGGAGTGGTTCAAGAAGTTGGAATCCGGTGGCCCAGTCTACCATGTTGAGCACTGGCCTCGTGGTCCTCACGTCCACGCCGGGAAAGAAGACCACATCAATGCCCACGTTCTTGGCGGGCTCGAACGACCTAGGCAGAGCTGCTGGGCGAGCACTCTTGGGACGAGGATGTGCTTCACATACATCGCACTTGTACTCATTCTTGACATAGGTCCAGACTGCACTTCGGGCTCTTGCCATCCTCAGTGCCTTGCAGAAGTCTGCCTTGCCTGGGTGTCCCAGGTTGCACTGGAGCTTGTGAATCATCGCCTTCTCCTGCCTGGTCAGCCCTCGACCGGATTCGGTAGGGTCTTCCTCATCATCTTGCCCCTTTTCTTCTTCGGGGTGTGCTCTGCGAGCATGCACATTGACATGTATTCCTTCTTGTCTTTCAAGGTCCTCATCCAGTGCTCTCTCTAGGGCCTCACTTCCTTCGATTTCTTCGGCGGCCCAGATCTCCAGATGAGTGGCGTCTTCCTCAGCTCCCTTGATCATCGCCTGGCAGAGTTTCTTTGGATACTCTTGGGCGAACCTGGCAATGCCTCCCACCAAGGGTTGATGTCGATGTTGATGAGTGCATCTCTTGCTGAGATGTCTTGCCAGTGCTTCGCCGTTGACCATGAAGTCCGTGGGCTTCTTGTTTGGTTCTCCTTTGACTGCTAGGCCGTACTGGCACTGGTCTGCTCGAATTCTTCGGACTCCTGGTAGGCTCAGCACTCGCTGAACTGATGGCTCCTGCCAGGCCTTGGAGGTGGATGGATGTTCAAAAATTGCAAGCCTTCCTCTTCTGACTTGCCACTCATAGATCTTCATGCCGAAGCTGACATGTTCTTGTCCTTCGCTCAATCTTTGGTGCCACACTTCAGGTCGCACCCTTCCTCGGTTGAGTTCTTGCAGCAATGAGAAGGGTGAGCATGGAGGACATATGACGACTAGATGGGGATCAGCTTGTCGAAGTTCTTGCCAGCACCTCACTCTGTCTTTCCTCTGAGACAGATCATATCCTGTGTGAAGATCAAATGCTCCACCCTCTTGATGTCCCATCTCCTTTGCTTCCGTGGTGACTCTTGGAGGCGAAAACACCTCAGCCACCGTCAGCTTCTTCATCTGTTTCAAAATTGCCTTTCTTGAGGCCTTGGAGAGTGCCTTGTCCTTCCCGGACTCATGGTGGTCTTCCCATTGCTCTCCCATGAAAATGCCCATCGCCATGGCCTCCTTTGGAAAGGCTTCCTTACTTGGCAAAATGCCTTGGTGAAACTGCCATCGTCCTTGTGGCTCATATTTCAACCACCAGTGTGAGGCCACTTGTCGTCTCCATGATGGTTCTTCTTCTTCTTCGATCTGCTTCTTGGCCCACAAATTCCACTGGGCCGCATTCTTCAACTCGCAGACCCGAGGGGCATTCTCCTTTATCCAGCAGCTCATCCTCTCATCGGGAACTCCTGGTGGTTCTTGATGGTTCTCCTCCTCCACCACCTCGTTCACATCATCTTCCAAGATGCTTCTGAGGCCTCCATCGGACCCTCGCTCTGCTGTGGCCCTTGCGATCCAGATGCCATTGATGCCTGCTGAATCATCATCTGGCGGTAGGTCATGGCCTTCTCCGCAGCTTCCTGCTGGATCTTCGGATCGTGGAATGCTTGTTCCATCTTTTCTTCTCCCACCAGCGCTGTCATCCACAGGAGTTAATTCTGAAGCGTCTCCTTTTCCATCTCGTGGCGGACGTGCTGATCCAACATCAATGCCTGGTGACGCTGCTCTGCCATAGCCATCGTCTGGTTGATGACTTCGTTCTTCTCTTTCTCGATGACTTGTTCGAATTCCTGGGCTTTGCGCTCCTCCTCCCGTTTCATCAGCTCCTCCTGGAGTCTCTTGGTTTCCTCCGGATCCCCTTCGAAGAAATCGCACACTCTTCGGGCGCACTTCCAGAACAATCGGCCTTGCGTTGGTCCTGACTTCTTCACCTGAAGCTGGGTGGCCATCTCTCCGCACTTGCACGTCACCGCATTGTGTGGGGTGATCTTCACTGGAGTGGCGGCCAGTGAACTTGGAGGAGGTGGACTCTCCAGAGAGCTCATGGGAGGCCACGGGGTTCTGACTGGAGTCACTGGAGGAGATGCCTGCTTCCTTGGTGGAGTCCGAGGAGGGTTCATGTCCTGCTGCGGCATGATGGGTGCCCTGATGCTGCAGGTCGGTGCTGGTAGTCCTGGATGCATTTGAATCGTGGTGTTTCCCACCTGCACCACTGGCGTCTTGGACTGAACTTGTTTCATGGCTTGTGGATCCACCAGCCAGCGAGCATGGCACTGCTTGCACCAGACTTCTCTCTGTGTCTGATTTCCCGCACCCACCAAAAAGGTCGGATGGTGAGAGCACATCTCCACGGAGGTGGAAGGCGGATTCTTGCACTTGCGAAGTCCCAGATAGTTGCCCTGCTTGATCATCTCCGCATAGGCCATTTCCTTTGAGGTCGGCATGACTGTGGTTGCCGGCGGTGAGGAGTATGCCGATGCTGGGGGTGCACTGACAGCTGACGATGGCACACGCGAGCCAAGCTCGAATCCATCTTCCTGCCAGCCTTTGACTCTGGCCTGAGCTCTTGCCAGCTCCATGACTTCGGCCACCTTTTCCATCACTGTGCGCCAGTGAGCTGTGGCGCGCTCGGGGCTGTGTGGCGAGGCTGAGCTTGCCGCATTGGATCTCGAAGCCATTTGCTCGATCTTGACCATGCGATTGAAGAGATCCATCGGCGATGCTTCCGAGCCGAAGGTGAGGCTTGGTGCTGTTCCACATGAACGAACTGTTGAGCCCTAAAGGTGCCGTCGACAAAAAATGAAACCCATTCTTTCGCTCTTCAAACAAAGGAACTGAAGTTGGCAGAGACCATCCCTGCGCCTCAAATTGCAAAACATCCACTGCAACATGGCCGGTTGGCATCTCTTGCAATTTGGTCGAACGACCGAAAGCTCCGAGGTGCAACTCCTGTTCGGACAAACTGATAGTGGCTTTGACTTGTTGAAGGAACTTGATGGAAAGCAAAAAAGGAACATCTTCTTCAACGACGGTTGCTTCAATGAGTCCGTTCACCCCTGCGATGCCGACCGGAATCTCGACGACGCCGACGACTCGAGCTTCACCTCCTATGCCACGTGCTTGTGCTTGCTTGGTTGACCACTGAACCTTCAACCTATGTTTGCGGAGTTCTTCGCCGAGTCGATCAAGAGCCCTCCTTCCAATGAGACCCCCTTGGGCAGCAGTGTCAATGATGCCAACATGTGAACTGGTGGTCAAACCCACGAACGACGAACGATTCTGTCCCTTCTTGATGAACTGACCAAGGGTGACCTGGTAGGTGTCGTTGACATTCATGGTGGTGTGCTCCCCAACCTCAAAGAACCCAGCTTTGGGGGATGACGTACCCGTGGATGAAGCCGCCGCCCTGTTCTTTGCTCTCGCATCCGGCTCATTGATGCATTCTTTGGCCCAGTGACCCACCTGTCCACATCTTGCGCACTTCGTGCGAAGCTTAAGCAGGTCCACGTGCACTTTCGTGCCTTTGCTAGAGAACTTGATGGACGTCTTCCCTTTGGAGGACTTTCCTAACCCTTTTCCGCTGACACCTGGCCCATAGTAGCCACGATTGTTCTTCTGCTCCTGGATGGCCTTGCGAACTTGTTGATACGTCGCAAGAGCTTCTTGGATCTCCTCCTCTTCATATATGTGGTTCAGATCGTCCTCACCCAGGTACACGTAGTCGCCGCTGTCATCGCTGCCACCCTCGATGGGCTCGGTCATGAATGTCTCATCCTCGACAGTCATGTAGCGGCTGCCCGGCTTTTCCTTCTGAATCTTCTCAAGTTTCCTCAGGGCTTTCACCACGTCAGATCGGGCGAACTTGCCTTGAGTCCAGGTAGTGATCTGATCTTCTTGTACTTGGGTCAGATTGCTCTGTCGGTACAGTATGTACCCTTTCACTTCATCAGAAAGCTGAACTCCTTCTTCATGTAGTTCACGAAATGCAGCATCTTGCCTGATCACGAAGTCGCAGATGCTCTCCTTGGGCTTCCTGGGTTCTCCGTACACTGCTTTCTCGAAAGCCTTCGGCATGGTGGTCTCAAGATGGGGGGAGTAGTGCTCTCGCAACTTTGCCAAAATCAGATCAACGCTCCCCGTGGAGGTCAGTTCTTCCACGGAGAGTTCATTGCAGATTGCCTTCGCCTGTCCTGAAAGTCCTCTCAGAACCTTCACACCGTGCTTGCGCTCCGGCACATCCGTATCGTGACGCCAGAGCTTGAGATCCCTCACATACTGATTGAAGCCCTCGACATCGCCGTCGAAGTTGGGTGGAGGATCTCGGTCTCTCCACATCGGCGCCTCCGCGCCGCTGGCACCGGCCGCGCCATTGCTGACCTGGTCTTCGGGCATCCGAGTGCTCCGCTACCACTGTAGATTACCCACAGTGGCGCGGCACACTCTCGAAACACATCGTTTCACCTGCGGGATAAAGCCCCTCGGGCCTGAGTGAGTGACGGAGATCAAACCTATACAAACGACGAGCAAGCGGTGATTGTCACTGAACCTTGGTTTGGTCAACATGCTCAACTTCCACAATCTTAGTATATCTTAGTTAGTTGCTGCATCATGTTCATCTTTTTGGGGATCGAGGACATGCCACCCAACTCATCGGCAAATTGGATCCTGTTGCGTGTCTATCCGAACAAATAAGGAGTAAAGGTGATCCAAACATCGACATGAATTGGTATATCAATGCCCCATGAATTACCATGCAGGGCCCTGTGGATGATGATGGTTCAGTTGCAGGCCGAAATCTCAACTGTTTCGTGATAAATCCTTTACTATCGTTTCCCAACTGTTGCTGGTTCAGTTGGCCCACACCGGCTACACCCGATAGGGGCCGCCATATGCTACACCCGAGCTGGGTGAACCGCGCAGGTGGTGTTCGACCAGCTGCCGCCCATCAGCCAAGAGCGAAGCGATCTGGCGGGGAGGGCGCAGATCTGGATGACGTCCCTTTTTGAACCCAGAAAAACATTGGATGAAAGACCTGGGAAGAGACCCACATGGAACCTGAAAACCACTGGTGAAGATCTGATACCACAATTGTGCAGCTTGACATGTTCTTCTAGGGTGTAGCTCATCAACCAGGTGTGTGGCAGTTGATCGGAGCTTTCCCTTCCAATGCTTTGAATATGGTATTAATGCAGGGTCAAATGGGTGTGTGTGTGTGTGGGATGCAGGAGCACTCATCCATCAACTGTAGAACTGAGATTCTGTTTTATTGGTTTGGGTGACTCGTTAATTCCTTCGAGAAACAAACAGCTGGGCATTCCCCAAATAACCAGTGGGTCTTGAGAAGGACTGCTACTGGGTAGGAGATCATCTGCAATGATCATAGCGCAAGAACCCCTTTTTTATCCAATTGGCCAGGATCCTATTTTGAGATACGCTCCAAAAGCAAAAGAATCACCAGCCACGATCCTCACAAGTCTCGTCCCACCTGAGCCGCTCCAGTGGTCTCGGTGGCCACCTGTGCAGGCGCATGTCACTCTTCCACCGGGTCGAACGGAAGTTCGACCGGTGGACCCACGTACGACGGGTGCGACGGGCCTCTTCGCGTGGGATCCGGAGTCAGACATGGGGGCGTTCCTTCGCGCATTCCCTACACCAGTCAATCGCACGAGTCAGTCGAAAAATGTCGTCTGGCCTTCCGAAAAATCTGACCAGCTGCCTTCCCCCGCGTTTTTTGGTTGATCTGTCCAAGTCAGCGGTGTTGTGCCCCGCGTTTTTCATACAGGGCATCCAGGTCTGACACCGAGTTTTCAGACGTATGGGTTCGGCACAACAAAAAGAACTCGTCTGAGGCAGACGTGTGGGGTTTAGCTGTAGGTCAAAAACTGGAGCCCGTTCCTGATAAGATGACCTCCTTTAAGTAGTCTGTTCTGATAATGACCTCGCCCAGTTTTCAACCCGGGGAGATCCGACCCACTGCCATGACATCATGCCTCACATACAATGAGATACTCTGTGTTTCGCCCTTCTAGACAGTTTGCCAATGCAGTAGCCTCACATACCATCTGACATACCATCTGACATACATCCGTCAGACCTAGATCAACATTCCAGTCACTCTGATAAGAAGTCATATGAGGGTACCAGTCCAAAGAGAAGTAGTCATTACCAGCCAAGCTCCGCTTCTGGACCTCCCCATGTTCTTTGTTCATATCCATTGAAGAAGTGACACTGGGGGATTGCATGGAGGTCGTGCGTTCCTGTCACCGAGATACCATTGGATTAAAAAGGCGACCTAAAATAGGGTGTCGTACCTCTCAAGCCGTACCTCTCGGCAACAACAACGCCACATCGCCGGCGCGCCGTTTGCTGATAAAGCCGATCCAGGTGTCGACACACCTGCGTGGCTCGAGCAAAGGCGCCGGTCTTGCGCAGAGTGGCCGGTCTTCTTGGAATGGTACCCAAGGAAGCAAACTTCTGCCTGTAGCAACTAGGGAAGAGGCACCCTAGGCTTCCAAGACCATGTAGTAAAACCCCCTAGTAAAACGTGTTTGTTTGGTGCAAGCTATTGAACTGAATTAACGGTGGTTTGCATATAACTTAATATTTAAGATCACATCACACACGTTCTTTGGGCTGAACTTGAGATTTTTCTCCCTCCCCTCAAAACCGCATCCAGAAGCCCAAGAACTCCACAAACGCATGCTTCTTTGATCTTGTTTGGTCGAAAAAACTGACCTGTCAGGCTTCGAAAGTCTCGCCTCCCATCGTTGTGCCTGTCCCTTCGTCCTGAAAGGGGCGATCAGGTCTCGAAATTCGTCCAGATCCCAAGCCAACAGGTTTCGCATGCGCCCTTTTGACGTCCCTTTTGCACCGCGGTCTCTCACACGAACGAGTCTAAACCGCCCAGTCACACCGCGCGTTCTCGTGGGCTCACAAAACCGCTAAGAATCCTGCAATGGCCAAACTTTCTGTGCGGAATCAAACAGGGCAAAGGCGTCAGAATTCTGAAAAGGTGAAAAATCATCGAAAGCGGTCGCCTATGATCTTTTTTAAAGAAAAGACACCAACACCATCATTTACCTCATCTGCACTTATGACAGTGGGCATCTTGTGGCCATCACATAAGTGGTTTAATTTAGACTTGCGAAGGCCGCATCTTCCGAGCAAGGCAAGCCAATTCAACACCTACTACCTTGAGCTTCCTTCCATCCGAAGCAACAGCCAAGATCCTTTCGAAGGGACGCTGCGTTCCGAACCTCTTTTCGGGCACAGTTGGGACCGGGATCCGGTACCCTCACCGCTGCTTGGTCCAGTCATGACAGGCAAAATGAACCGTTTTTTCAAACAGGGCACCAGGTCTCTGACCGAAACGGTCCATAGATTCGATCAGCCGGTTTGACCAGAAGACATGACCTTTAAAGACATGACCTTTAAAGCTTAAGACTATAGATATTAGTCGATAGAGTCTTGACTAAGGCATAGATCCTGACACGTCGCTCACAATCAATCTCTGCGGTCCGTGGAATCCAGTTTTGCTCTCCGTCTTGCCGTTTAGAACACGTCAGGCTTGCAGGGTTTTTGCGGGAAGGAAAAACATGGGGAAACACATATTCTTTTCGACTGCAGTGCTTCTTCGTTCGACTGCTTTCACATCACTACCAAGCGGAAGCTCATTCTGCTCATCGACCGTCGGTGGGCTTGGCCCGGCTGGTTCGCGCCCTGAAAAGGCTCGACCGTCGTCGATTAGGACAAAGTGCGCACCTCAGTCCAGTCGTCCAATGCGACGAACGAGAGGTCTTCCATGGAAGGCATGTTTGAACATGTTTGAACATGTTTGAACAGCAACAACAACCACAACAACAGGGGCCAATCTGCATGGCAAAACGTGCGGTTGGTTTTGATGTAGACCACCACATGTCAACAGGAGGCCAAACCCTGCTCTCTTTTATACATATTTGATGAGTGTGCCTGGTCCATGCAAGACCCCGAAAATACTCCAACCAAAGGAGAAACTGCCTTGGTCGGGGGATGAGTCATTCCTAAAAGGGTCCCATAAACCTAAACTACAAGATACTACAAGCTGATTTGATTCCACAATTCTTCTATTCTTCTATCCCCTAGTGGGTTGTGAGAGTTCGATCTCTTCATATTCCCGTATACAGGACTTACTGACCTACGGACCTACCTCGCGGAAACATGCGCGGATTGGGCGGATTTGCAGTTCAACAGGGCTTGGTGGGATCAACCGGCCGAGTGCGCAAGACCGTTGAAAAGCCGACACGAGTTTTACATGCATCTCTGGTCTGTCGCTGGTTCTGGTCTGTCTGTTGCTGGTTGAAGAAACGAAACCCCTTGACCAGATTCCTATGTTTGGGAAGCCTGTGTTGACAACGACTACAAGTAGACATCATTGATCCCTCTCGCCTCTCACTGCTACAAAAATACAAACAGGCAACTTCTTGTCTGGCAAAAGATTTGCCAGGAACGTTTGATTTGCTGGCTGAGCCTCAAGCCACCTGTAGATTAGTTCATGTGTTCATCATCTATCGAAAATACTTATATACTTGCTCATCACAGCAGTAGTGTAGGGGCTTCCATTGGTGACCCCTTTGAAGGTGCTGGTAGTTTCTTCATGTCCAGTTCTTCATGCCCTGATGATCATGCCCCTCTGATTACACCACGTACTAACCTCCGACTCACCAAAGCGTGTACAAAAGCGCGAGCTTTGCGGCCTCTTACGACCAAAGCGAGCTGTTTGGACTCTCTACCCTTTTGGACTTTCTGGGTTTCTCCGGCGACCGGGACGGTTCAACCCCCCCCTTACCACTGAAACCCATGGCAAGCTCCAGTGGTAATTGTGTCAAATCTACTGAAGCCCACCGTAAAATTTCAACCGCTCGGCTTGTTTCAACGGAAAAAGGAATCAAACCTCCGGTGTCATTCTGCGTCGTGGACCCGTCTACTCAACCTCTACTCCGTTCGATGCTGGGGAGGCCGGCGACCTGGGCAAAGTTGTAGAGGTTTCGTGTAAAGTGATCCTGGGGGCAGAACGAGCGGACTCTCCGGGGGGGGAGAGCGGGCGGTTTCGAGACTCGACTCGACTCTTCATCGAGTTTCGAATGACCCGGACTGGCCCAAGTACGGTTTTTCATGTACGTACCGTACGTGTATCATAGGCAAAAACAGGTGCAAGTGTATAAAATTACAGTGTATACAATGTATTTACAAAATGTCTCCTGGAAGCATACCTTGTCTGCGATTCGATCGAGGGTCCGTGCCACTGGGGTCATTGCCGGGCATTTTATAGAGAAATGGTCTATAGAATGTCATCCAATGGGTGTCCAATAGACTACCCTACCTTACTTACCGGCCTCCATTGGGCCCGCATTGGAAGTGCTAGGAATGAAATTGAATGAATATTATAGAATGGGCGGCAAGAGGTAGAATCTCTACAGAATGACTGGCGGTCTTTCTATAGGCCAAGCCAGATGCTGCAGCAAAAGCTCACTTAAAGGGTAGACAAGGGCAGCCTGTAAAAATGCCAAAGCAGGTCTCTATGTCACGGCATGCCGCTCCTTTACAAAATGCCGGCACGGCTTCACAAGGCATGCTAAGAAAGGCTACCAAACAGACAAGAACAACCTCCATAAAATGCCGTCAAACGTTCCACAAAAAAACTGTAAAACAGATCACTCCATAAAATGATGGTCCAAAACGCATGTCCTAGTGTCAAATGATAGAGGACCAAGCACAACGGACATCTTCCCTCAGCTACTTTGCTTGCAGGACGTTGCAGGTTTATGGAAGGTCTATGGAGGAACGGAACCCGACAACATACTCAAGGGTCTATGGAGAAATATGAGTAGGGTTCCGGTCCATGGACATATATGGACAACATACTCAAGGGCTATGAGTGCCGGTGCTGATGTTCCTTTTCAATTCCCAACATCATCCATGGACATATATGGGTTGACCATTGGAGTCCGAAAAGTGCACCACTGCAGTCGACGTCAGCTGGCACAAACACAAACAGTGAAACCGTTGAAACCGGAAATGGCGTCCGTGACAGCAACTTCGCTGACGAAATGTCCTGCTTGTATCAAGTCCGTTCTCAAGGCACAGGCTCAGAGCAAGAAAAACCAGTACATTCGCACATTCATATGTTCCATTAGTCTAGCAAAGTGTAACCAATACTCTAAAGTGAACATATCCCAGAAATAATAGTAAACCATAGTAAGCCATTGTGCAGTTGACCAAGTTTGGAATCGGGCGGAGAGTCGCAAAATTCGGTCTCGTCCGGATGTGAACCCTCCCTTTCTCCGTTGCTTCGAGGAATCCAGTCTTCATTCAGTCGCTTTTATACCCTAGGGCTCCTGGCCCATATCCTCAGAAGGTGGTTAGACCCCCCAAACCCACCCCAACCACCTTCCCAGGAGGTAGTTAGAGCCCTATAGGGATATATCCTTGATTCATCCAATTTTTCTGCGTGTAGATGAGTGTAGACTGTGTAGATGAGTGGAGGTGTGAGCAATACGTTTGACCACCCCTTCTGCTGTGAATGCCAAGGCAGTATATCAGTTTGTATGCAATAATCCCTCAAAAGAAGAACTCCACAGAAAGCCCATAGCTTTAGATAGTTCTTGCAGACCCAAGCTTCTATTCATTCTGATAGCTGGCTGACAGCTTTTCTTGGCACATGAACCAAAACAGTTTCCTGGTTGACACTGGAACCAACGGACAACAGCCTTCCAACCAGTCCCATGGTTTGGGGGTCCTTGCAAACCCTAGCTGTTTAGTTGAACCTGAAAAAAAAGTGATATCTTTTTTTT